GTACAGGCAGCCGCCATCTTGCACCGCCATCTTGTCTACGAAGGCTCATGAAGGACAAACTGCGGTGACGGCGTCAAAAACTGTTTTAGTTGTAATACTATAAATGTAATGTTTGTTGTCTGTCATTGTAACTGGGATAATTTTACTTATTAAAGCTCTTAATCTTACCACTTGAAACATCACTAGCCCTAAAGCTGCTGGTAGACATCGCGGTTGGAATTATCAAAGGTTTTTGACACCTGAGAGACACCGTAGCTACTCCCCTGCGTTTGGAAGGGGGGGGGGGGGGGGGGGGGGACCAGGGAGGATGATTCAACCACTAGATGTCGCTGAAAACAAATCCTACACACTGTGCCTTTTAAAGTAGATTTTGTGCCAGAAATTTACTTTTGATACTTAAGTACAAAAAATATCAGATACTTTAAGTAATATTTTTAGAGAAGACGTTAACTTTTACCAAAGTATTTTTATGATAAGATGCTTGTACTTTTACTCAAGTTTCACTTTGAGGTACTTTATACAACACTGGGCAAAATGGGCACAATTATCTTGCCGTGTGAAGCAGGCATTGATATTTCACACCATAAAGTGCATGGACTAAAGTTTATAACTTGATCATTGTTTCAACACTAGCATGTTAACTGTTTTCTTACTTTCTGTTCACAGACTTCTTCATCTTAAATGGATTGATTCGCACTGGAAACTGTTGCTGGTGCTTCAGAGCTTTTTACTTCAGGACATTCTGAATGTGACAAAAATCGATAACATGCAATCAGTCAAGCAAGAAGTGGACTCTGGTGAGCCCTACAGCGGAGAGGATGCCCTGGTCCTCGCTGTGGCCTTACAAGGGCCGAGCGGAGAGTTAGCAGGTAATGACGTTTCTGCCGTTCCCCTCAAGAGTAAATCTGCATGTCGTAGGAAACGGGAGTTCATCCCGGAGGAGAAGAAAGACACCGTTTACTGGGAGCGGCGGCGAAAAAACAACGAGGCCGCCAAGCGCTCTCGAGAGAAGCGGCGCATCAACGACATGGTGCTGGAGAACAAACTGATGGCTCTCGGAGAGGAAAACGCCTCGTTAAAGGCGGAGCTGCTGTCGCTGAAGCTGAAGTTTGGCCTGGTGAGCTCCGCAGCATACGCTCGAGAAGTCCAGAAGCTGTGCAGCTCCCCCGTTGTTAGCTGCCATCAGGATTTTATTCCACCCAGTGCTGACCACGGCTCAATCAAAGATTTGGAGCCTTTGCAGCTTCGCAGCAGCTGCATATCGGTGATTAAACAGTCGCCTCTAATGCCTGAAACATGCACTGCAACTCAGGACGGCTTTACTCTCTGTGCAACAGCAGATGTCAAGCAGGAACCAGCAGAAAATGCACAGAAAAGGAGTGGTCCGTATGAACTTTATAACAACTGCACGGGCAGTCGCTTGTCTGACATGTACTGCCAGCCCGCCTCGTTCACGCCAAACACCAGGTCCTCCAGTAACTCACCCAGTAGCTCTTATGATGGCGTCGTAAGCAAATCATCAGATGGCGAGGATGAGCAGCAGGTCCCGAAGGGGTTGGTGCCTTCTGTAGCTGACCTGAGAAGTGTCATCGTCTCCACACACAAAGTGCCGGACCCCAATTCTTCAGCTTTGCCCCATAAACTGAGGATCAAGTCAAGAGCTGTCCAAGTTAAGGTGGAGGCCATTGACTCTGAGTACGAGCTGTCCGGAAAGTCCTCCTCTCCTGTCACCGTTTCCCAGGGAAAATGCTTTCAGGCGGCTCTTGACTCGTCAGCGTATATGCAGCACTCCCAGTGCCCCTTGTCAGTACAGGTCACCAGCCTGCAAGACTGGAGCCACCAGGCGAAAAGCAACGTGTCTGCAGGCTGGCTGTCAGAGTAGCGTTCAAACCCCGAGCCTCGTCTCAATCAAAGCTGTTTTAAATGTTAAGAAAAACTTTCTATGCACACTCAGATGCTGAGGACGTATCTACAATGGAGACTGAAAACTTCACAAACATCTGTAACATGTCAACCAAAACCATCCCTGATGGTCACGAGTCTGTGTTGAAGTCGTGAATATCCTCGTTTGTTTTGTTTTTCCACTGTATTTACAGTTACGCTGAAGTTGAACGCAGGTTTTGCTTGGTAAATTTTCAAAGATGGGTGTTAAATGATTGTCAGAAATCTAAATAATTCCCGCTTCTCTCTTTTTTTCTTGTTTGTGTAGAAAAAGAGGCGGTTCGCTAAAACAAGGAAGGATGCACACTCTGTGCTGTAAACGTCTGATTTGTTATTTTGGTATCATGCACTCATTTTACTAAAGTCCTGCACCACTAAGTCAGGTGTTCTTTTCAGTTTCTTTCTGTTTTTGAGCCAAATAAATCAACGATAATACATTTTGACAAATAGGTCCAATTTTCAAAGTAATAAATGTGGACCGTAAACATTTCATTGACAGTGACTTGAACTGTTGGATTTAGTGATGATATAATAAATGATGGCAAGTTTGTGTAAAAATAAATAAATAATCGCACTGGGTTGACACGACTGATGAAATTGGGGAAAAACATGAACAAGATGTTGATTTTGTTTGTAATTACAGCAACAGAGAAAACGGGGGAAAACCCTCCTTATGAGCTGGTTTCTGATTAAAGAAGTGTTAGTAAGGGGCTGACTGCCACTCTGAGAATTCACTGTACTTCGATAATATTTTAAACCCATGATGTGGGGGACGTTGTTGTGTGATTGTTTTAAATTTTTATTTTATTTTCCAAAAATTATTTACTGTGACTTTGGTTTGTTTTCAGTCTGTCGTGGTCCAGGTTCGGTCCTGCCACAATTTGCCTTAAATGAGAGATTCCTGATCAACATGTTGGCTTCTCCATTGGTGAATTAATGGTTTAGCAGTGGAGGTTCAAAAACACTTTTCCTTAAAGGTCATTCCTGACTTTACTACAATCAGTGTCAGAGATCTTAAAACCAAAAAGAATTACGAGACGTGACATGAATTATGAGGTGAAAGATCTATAATATTCCTCATGATCAGTAACATTTAAATCACTTATTGTCGTCTCTTGAGGAAAAGTTTCAAGTGCGTTCAACATGTTGCAGTTTCTAACTTTTGTTTTTCTGTGCAGAAACACAGAAGCCACAAAGGTCAAAATATTGGTAGCTCTTGTCTTTTAGCCATTTTATGATTAAACCAAGAAAGTCAGAGGCTCGATTGAGCTTCAACACATTTCACCAATTTATGGAACAATTCCATCAGTGAGCCCTTCTAATCCTGTGGATCCTTACAGGTTTAATAAATGAAAAGACACATCACTGTGGTTCTCAGTTCAGAATCATTTGACCATCTGAGCTTTAGCGGGACAGAAAGGGATTCCAGCTTATTTCAAATGATATAGCCTTACTTATGGAAGCCCATTTCCGCCACCCTGATAAAATAATAAAACTTGTATCTCATAATTATGACTTAGCTATCTCATTACCATGAGATACTATGTCATAATTGTGACTTAGCTATCTCATAATTATGAGATACTATCTCATAATTATGAGATAGCTAAGTCATAATTATGAGATAGTATCTCATAATTATGAGATACTATCTCATAATTATGAGATAGCTAAGTCATAATTATGAGAAACAAGTTTTATTTATTTTTTTATCAGGGTGGCGGAAATAGGCTTCCATACATACTGGCCAAAGTCAGCCTGATTTATTTTTTTCTGTTTAATAAAATCAAAAAACCTGGAGCTGCAGACTTTCAGTTTAGCAGCATTGACCTCTGACCCAGTGGACTTGTATCCTTTTTAGCAAGAGAGAGCTCAGTGGAAGTAGGTCATATCCCCCAACAAAGTAGTTAAAGCATTAATGATACTGTTTTCTATTACGAGACAGTGTGAGAACACGGTGTGATTAATTTGCTGTGCTCCATCAGTAGTGTTCTCACAGAGGAATGTCGCTTTCTGAGCCCGGCTTTAGTAAAACGAGTTCCATATAGAATCTGACATTATGAAACTACGCGTCCTACATGTTTAAGAAGTTTAAAACATCCAAACATTTCCAATAAACATGTAACAACTCCACATTTCAGTCCACACAGTTCTGCCAAAAAGGCTGACAAGATGTTCACATTAATGGTATACCAAGAAACAAAAAAATAGCTTTAGTTTGGCTAAAAAAAATCCAAAAATTTTCCCCTCTTTTGAAACTTTACAGTTTCCTCTTCACAACTCTTTCAGCACAAAGTTTAATGCGAACAGAAGCAGTATAAAAAAATAGACGCACAAAAATATGTAAAACAGTGGGTAAGCGGGCTTTACTTTGTCATCATTTTTCAATTTCAAATTCACCTGGAAAAACACCAAAAATGATTTTTTTATCACCAAAATCTCTTGTTTTTGTGGAAACGAGGTGCAAGCAGATAAGAAAATCCTCATTTAAAAAATGGTTAATGTAGACGGGACCCCAGTGTTTAATAATACTAATGTTATTTTTTAATAAAAATAATGTTAGTATTGTTAATAGTAAACATATGAAAATATGCATCTCCAATGATAAAGGTATGCATTTTGTGTCAAAGCCAGATTAACATTTCAGTGACAAATCTTTACCCAGCAGACTCACTTATTGTAACGCCAAGTTTTTGTTTACAATAAATGTCTCATCACTGAACTGAACTGTGTCTTTCTTGTTGATTTTACAGTGTGCAATTCAGAACACACAGTTACTCCAAATAAATACAACCTTTTATACAAGAAGAATTTTATTTACTCGAAGAAAAAAATAGTTCTGGTAAAACAACAGCGTCTCTGTTTGTGTGTGTGCGTGTGTGTGTGTGTGTGCGTGTGTGTGTGTGTGTGTGTGTGTGTGTGTGTGTGTGTGT